AGTTGGAGTCTCACTCTATCGCCCAGGCTGGAGTGCAGTGACACACTCATGGCCACCCCAGCATTGACCTGCTGGGCTCCGGCGATCCTTCTGCCTCAGTCTTCTAAGTAGCCAGAACTACATGCACATGCTATCATGCCTGGCTAATTTTTATTTTATTGTAGAGACGAGGGCTCACCGAGTTGCCCAAGCTGGTCTTGAACCCGCAGGCTCAGGCAGTCTGCTTACCTTGGGCTCCCAAAGTGTGGGATTACAGGCTGAGCCACCGAGCCTGGCCTTAATTTTTTTTAATTTTAAAGATGTGGGGTACAATTTAGGATTAAGCATATAAGTACTCATCAGACAAGTTGCCTGGGCCTCCCTTTGGTCCCCACTTTGCCTGGTTTGAGACCAGGTACCCTGACTGATGCTGTGTGTCCCCCTCCCCCACCCTGGCAGTATCCCATTCCTGACTTTCAGGCTTTTTGAAATCAAAAATTAAGGATTAAAACACTGAGGTGCCATTAAAGTCACATAAACATAGTGCTCCATGGCTGTGCTTGCCTGTCCATCTGGGTCACTCAGACCACTGGGCAGCAAGCTGTACTGAGCAGTGTTACACAAAGACATTTAGCGGCTGCTTAATTTCCTCTTTTATAATTATCTTTTCTGTCTTTATCCACAAGACACGCATCGTTTTGCTGATAAATGAACAAATGCCTCAGACATTCTAAGTAAAAGTTGTCAGGCGCAGTGGCTCACACCCGTCATCCCAAGGCTTTGGGAGGCGGAGGCAAGAGGATTGCTTGTACTCCTAGCTACTCGACAGACTGAGGTGGGAGGATCACTTGAGCCCAGGAGTTTGAGGCTGTAGTGAGCCATGATCACACCGACATACCAGCCTGGGTGACAGAGAGAGACCCTGTCTCAAAAAAATAACATTAGTCAGGTGCAGAGGCTTGTGCATGAAATCCCAGCACTTTGGGAGGTAGAGGCGAGAGGATTGCCTGAACACAGGGGTTTGAGACCAGCCGGGGCAACTTGGCGAGACCATGTCTCTACAATAAATAAAAAAATTAGCTGGGGGTGGTGGCACACACCTGTAAATCCCTTGGAAGTCTACTGGGAAGGCTGAGACAGAAGGATCACCTGAACCCAGAAGGTCGAGGTTGTGGTGGCCGTGAGTGTGCCACTGCACTCCAGCCTGGGTGACAGAGTGACACTCTAACTCAAAAAATAATTAAATAAAATCTGAAAATAGTTCTTTCTGTTTGGGCATCTACTTGAGGATAAGTAGTATTTTAGTGCCCCAAAGATAATATGTCTTAGATTAACTACTTTGAACTTCAAGTTTCAGAGGAGCCAGCACTTTCTTGAGGTACCATCCAAGAATTTCTTGTCAAGTGGTACAAAATATTTATGTAAAACTAGCAGGAAGGCGTTTTCACAGATTTGGGAGAACTCGTTACTTCAAATGTCACCTGGCCTAATTGAAGGGCAGCAAGACGGTTCAAAAATGCAGGCTTTTGGTTTCACTGTAGCCAGGATTTTAAAAATTAGTCTATCATGAAAAAGTCTTTGAAATGCTTATAACAGAAAATGCTTATAGACAGAAAAAAAATTAAATTTAGAGCAAGAATAATTTCCTTAATTTCGCCTCCTTGATTTCTTTTGACTGTTTTGTCTAAAGCATTGTTAGACTTTTATAAATATTTTGATTTACTGTATCTTGGATCTTGCTATTTTATCATCTGAGACTCATGACTTGAATATGGAGGAAAATGATTTAGCAATTTATTTCTTTCTTCCTTCTTGTTTTTCTGAGACAGAGTCTCTATCGCCCAGGCTGGAGTACAGTAGCACATTTATGGCTATGCAGCCTCGACCTGCTGGGCTCAGGCCATCCTTCCGCCTCAGCCTTCCAAGTAGCTGGGACTACAGGCACACACCACCAAGGCTGGCGAAATTTTTGATTTATTGTAGAGAAGAGGCCTCGCCCTGTTACCCAGGCTGGTCTCAAACTCCTGGGCTCAGGCAATCCTCTCACCTCTGCCTTCCAAGGTGCTGGGCCTAGCCCGGCCTAGCAATTTCTTATTATCTTGCTAACATGTAAAGTTTGCCATTCAGGTATTTAAGAGTGAGCCCCACCCTCTCAGCAATGTGCGTTTGAACTCACAATATTTGTTTTATGGCAGTTTTGAAAGCCTATATTATGCCATGTATTGTCATATTATTTTTAGATGATGGGACATAGCCAACAAGGGTGGTACTACACAGTGCCTAATATGTATTTTGGTGTGTAAACTTCACTAGATTATTCTTTTAACCATAAACATGTAAAAAAAATAGGTTATATCATGTTCAAGAAGCAGGACATAAGAATTTCCCTGGCAAGATCCCGTGGGGCAGTGGCTTCTTTTATATTCTCAGAGTGTCTGTTGTTTGTTTCTTTGCTTGAGTTGGGGTCTCACTCTGTCAGACTGGAGTGCAGTGGCATGCTCACAGCTCACTGCAGCCTCGACCTCCTGGGCCTAGGTCTTCTACCTCAGTCTCCTGAGGAGCTGGGACTACAGGCACGCACCACCACGCCTGGCTATCTTTTAAAAAATATATTTTTGTAGAGACGAGAGCTTGCTTTGTTGCCCAGGTTGGTCTTGAACTCCTGGCCTCAAGCGATCCTCCTGCTGCAGTCTCCCAAAGTGCTGGGATGGCACATGTGAGCCACGCACCAGGCCTCCTCAGAGTGTCTTGAATAGGATGAAGCTACCAGATAGTAATGTGTAGATATGAAAACATTTTGAAAAGCATAAAATGCAATTTAAATGTGGGATATAAAGAATACCTGCAAACCCACAAGGAGAGAGGGGACAACAGAAAAACAGAAACGAGACATACAATCCCTAGCAGGGAAGTCCTGTGGCCAGTGAGGCATGGGAAGATGCTCGGTGACCCTCTCGAGCTATCAAGGGACAAATACTCACAGATCAGCAGGGAGGGCGGGTCACAGCTCTCAGCCTGGAAAAGGGATGAAATCCTCAAAAACTGACGGTTCGAAGGCAGGAGGGGCTGCCAAGGGCCTGGAGAGACCAGCAGACCTGGGTGCAGATTCCACACTCAAGCACCCATGACTTATGAAAGAAGTAACATGACGGCAGTGCCAAGAACACATTTTTAAAAACGTATGAGGCTGTACACGGTGACTCACACCTGTAATCCCAACACTTTGGGAGGCCAAGGTTGGAGGATCACTTGAGCTCAGTAGTTTGTGACCAACCTAGGCAATGTAGTGAGACCTCAGCTTTAGGAAAAAACCCCAGAAATTATTAGCTGGGCATGGTGGCATATGCCTGTAGTCCCAGCTACAAAGGAGACTGAGGCAGAAGGATTGCCTGAGCCAGGAGGTCAAAGCTGCAGTGAGCTGTGATCATGCCACTGCACTCTAGCATGGGCAAAAGAGTGACCCTTACTCAAAATAAATAAATAGATAAATACCTCCTATTTATAGCAATCAGCAATGCCATGGAATCACATGTATCCTCCTGTCGGATACGGGTCGACACACTCATTTCTCAAAACTGTAAGCGAATCTGGAGAGGTCCTTAAACTGGCCTGAATTCCACAGTGCCCCATGCACTCACCAGTTTAGAAGTCCCCACTTTAAAGCAGTGCTGGTGGACTGTCCAGGAGGAAGCATCAAACACAATCACTCGGCCTTCAGAGTGCTCATTCAGGGCGCACCACAGTTTGGGGTGAGCATCTTCGACTTTTTCTGCTGGGTCAAGATGTCCTAAGGAGGGAAGCAGCCCAAGCAGTTACAAGGAAAAGCTCTGCCGTGGCAGCCGGCAATTTGCACCACTGCTTGGGTCTCACTGGGCACATCCCACATGCCAGGCCCTTGCTGGGTGCTGGGGGTACAAAAATGGGCACACTAGCGGACGACGGCTTGCGGCTTTGCTTTCTTTCACGAGACCTGTTGCTCTGCTGGGTTTTCGTGACATGCAAAAAGGAGAGAAAACTCTCTCACTGGAAGCTGCTTTATGCAGAGCCGCTGTCTGCCTGTCCGAAACATGCATGCCACGTGTGGGAATCGTCACATGCCATGGGAAGTCATGGGATGTGCACCTGGGGGTCACGAGAGAGCATCTGTAACACTTACTGTTCGTGGTACACATGGACACACAGAGAAGCCACATCACTGGATTTTATAATTCTTTTCTGCCTGTATTGAAGCTCCTCTGTTTTCTACACTAGCAACCCTTGGCATAACCTCCCCAGCAGCATTCTTTCTACGTCAGAATTTAATCAAAGTGTCTTTGACAGTTTTAAACCCACAACCCAGCGAGGATCTTCTTTAGGCTCTGACCCTTGGCAGTGCCAGTTCCCTTCTCCTGCCATCATCCTAATGTGATGTGGAGGGCAGCAGAAAAGCCATGAACAGGAAGCAGCCAGACAACCCACCAAGCAGAAAAGAATCTACTGTCGCCCATTCAGAGTAGGACAGGACTCCTGTCTGTCTGGTTTCTATGACAACAGGTATCTGAGGTGCCATTGCCTTATCGCAATAACAGCGGGATCAGATTAAATAACTTCAAAGGGAAACAATGTGGGCACAGGTGCTCTGTACACAGTCAATGGCCACAGAAGGTAAGGAGCCATAAGGCTGAAGCAGGATTTACACACTCAAGTGATGGCCCCATTTCAGTCTCTCGTGGGCTCCCCCCACCCCAGCTCTGGTCATTACGAGGCCAAGTCCATGGAGCAGCTAGACAGTCTCACACTTACTGCTCATGTCTTTGCCTCAAAAATCAGAAAAACACCCTGTCTCCATGTATACTTCCTCTGTCACTCCAGAGCTGACCTTGAAACCCAAATAGAAACTTACCAGAGTGTTTTTAAAAATCATGGCAATAGGTCAGGTGCAGAGGCTTACACCTGTAATCCCAGCACTTTGGGAGGCTGAGGTGGGAAGATTGCTTGAGCCCAGAGTTCAACACCATCCTGGACAATATAGCAAGACCCCGTCGCTAAAAAAAAAAAAAAAAAAAAAAAAAAAAATCACAGCAATAAACAAGAGATCTACATACCTGGAGTGTACAACAAGACGTCCACAGCATGTGGAAAAGTTTCTCCCGCCGAAGGATTGATTTTGTGTTTCAGCGTTTCCGAGGTTGTCTTCGGAACAGCCATGGGCACTGAAAGACAGACACTCGGACATTACTGTCTAGGCATGGGGGCATGGATGCCATCCCACAGCCTCACTCATTCTGCTATTGCAGAACCCATGTCTGAGGTCAGTCTTCATCATCTGTGCAGAGGAAGCTCTCTGTGGACCTGGGTGTTGAAGGACAGCTTCAGCCCTGGGCCTCCGTTCCTGCTCTCCCCTGGTGCACAAGTAAGTGGCAGGGGACATGGATGTGTTCAGCGACTCACGCGGCTTTTGTTTAAGCAAAGCCCTCTTCTCAACTCCTGAGCCATCCGATCTGGCTCAGGATAATCGGGAGGGACTCCCCCCAAAACTGGAATTTATTTATAACAAATTGTGATTTATTCTGACATGTTTAAACTTCAGTCACCTTCAAAGTACTCTCCGTGTGAAGCAATTCGTCTACTGAGATGCTTTTTTCACTGCTCAAAGTAGTTTTTGAACTTGTGGATTTTGATGTCTTTTAGTGCTTCTGCCCTTTTTTGTTTCCTCTCTTCTACATTGGCAAAACATTTCCCTCTGAGGGCTTTTTTCATCCGGGGAAAGAAACAAACAAAAAGTAGCTCTGGGCAAGATCAGGTGACTAGGGAGAGTGAGGCACAGGGGTCATGGTGTTTGGGGTCAAAAACTGCTGAACACTCAGTGTGCTGTGAGCAGGTGCGCTCATAAGTCACCCACCATGAAATGGGCAAATGCCTTGAAAGAATCTCCAAAAAGAGTCACTGAAGCCAAACACAGCCTCTCACAACAATGCAGCTGGTACTCTGATGCCGATGGGCTCCTAGAACACTTACCTAGCAGGGAAGCCTGCACTCTAAGGGGTCTACCCTCCAAAAAATAATTCTGTGTTTTTTGGGGGCTCCCCCTTGTAATGCCTAATTAAAAATGCTTCTCAGTAATGAGGTATTCCCAAGATGCAACCCAGAGCATGGTTTCTCCACCTGAGAACTGTGGATGTTTTCAACTGGATGCTCCCCCATCGTGGGGGGACGTCCTGCATCCTATACACTATGGGATGCTGAGCAGCATCCCTGGTCCCTGCTCATAAGATGCTGGCAGCACCTCCCATACATAACCACAAAGTCTTTAGGCGATGCCAAACACCTCCCCTCAAGGATGGGGTGCAAAATCAACCCCCCACACTAAAAACCACTGCCCTTCAGAATAGCACACACTCCTCTCTTGCTATCTAACCCAGCCCATGTTTCCAGACAAAACCCAACACTGCTTCCTGTCAATCTCCTGGGACCAGCCTGCTCTGACCCAGTCCCTCCACCTCCCTCACCCCTTAGTCAGTCCCAGTGGCTGTTCCCTACGTGCTTGCCAGCAACTTCTCTTCCCTTACATCTTGTTATTCTCACAACAGTCTAATGAGACTGACCCTGTTGCCCCCATTATAAGCAAAGAAAGATGAGAAAACCGAAATGCATCACCACCCCATGACCTGTTGAAGGTCCTGCCATCTGCCAAGGGTTTGACCGGGACGCCCAAGTGGGGCTGGCGGGTTCACCAGAGTGCAGTGACCGCTCACTGGCCTCTCTGCCTCTTCCCCCGCTGCCTCGAGCTGTTAAGTCATCTGTTATGGTTTAATCGTATACAGCGCTAGACCTTCTATCATGAGGTGACCGGGAGGTCATTAAGCTCAGGGTCATGAGTCACGTCGCGTTTGCCTCACTGAGCTTTAACGGTGGAGAACGTGTCCTGACTTGTTACTGAGGGATCAGGAAGTCCAGCGTTCTTTGTGACACTGGGCAGTGACTGAGAGTGAGCTGTCGTCTGCTGGGTATGCCCACGGTGACTCGAAACAGTTTACAGAGGGGTTAGATGACTTGTCTATAAACTCTCAACCAAGACCAAGCATGAGCTTGGAGTGATAGAAACAGCTGAAATAGGAGGGTTGTTTGATTTTGTTCCAGAGCAATCAACGTCTGGCTCCAGGACTACTGGACAAAAGCTCCTTCAAGTTCCCCCAGCAGGTCTTGCGGCAACATGGGTCCCTGAGGCTTTATTTGCTACCCCGGTTTGAGGGCCCCTGGGTGACGTGAGAGAGGGCTTCTGTGACCAGAAAGCAGCAGGAGTCCTGCAGTCAGTGACAGATGTTGTAAAGAGAGCAAAGTGTGTCAGAGTGAATAAACACATAACAGAAGTTTGATTTTCCTAATTCTGAGACAACCTTTAAAAAAAAAAACCAGAGTCAGCTCGTGTGGTGGTTCACACCTATATTTCCAGCACTTTGGCAAGCTGAGGCAGGAGGATTGCTTGAGATCAGGAGTTTGAGACCAGCCTAGGCAACACAATGAGACCCTTATCTCTACAAAAAAATGTTTTAAAAATTAGCCATGTGTGGTAGCTTGTGTCTGTAATCCCCGCTTAATTAGGGCAGAAGGATCACCTGAGCCCAGGAGATCAAGGCTGCAGTGAGCTATGATTTTGCCACTGAACACTGCACTCTAGCCTGGGCAACAGAGTGAAACCCTGACTCAAAAAAATAAAAAATAAAAAAAGCAACAAACCAGAGTCTCCCATGTACACCCCAAGAGAAAGAAAAACAAATGTCTACACACGAACTTGTACATGAACGTTCACAGCAGCATTATTCATAATAGCCAAAAAGTAGAAACAAGGCAAATGTTCATCAACTGATGAATGGATCACTATATCCAAACAGTGTCTATTATTCAGTTACAAAAAGACTAGACAAACCTAAACTTGAAAATCATCACCTCCTGCAAAAAGGTAAGCACACCACCCACCGCTGTGTGACTTCTGGAAGGAGAGCGCCAGATGCTAATCTACAGGAAAAAGACTGAAGAATTCCTGTCTGGGGAAACTGAGGGGGGGGAAAAAAAGACCTTAATCAAGAGGGGGGAAAAAAAAGACCTTAATATTCAGGGCCTCTCCTCACTCATGCAATGGTGAAGCCCACCTGTCAGAAGGCCCACCAGGAGCCACTCAAGAGCCTTCCAGAGACTTCTATGCTGCTTAAACCAGCCAGAGGAAATTCCGTTGTTTGCAACTAAGAATCACAACAACCCCTCCGATGTATCATGGAAGGCTCCCCAGACACTAAAACTACCCGGTGCGTCCTGCTCAGCAAAAGGCTCCAAGTACATTGTTAAGTGACAAAAGGAAAGACACAGAACAAGGAACGTACAGTATTCAAAAGCAAATTAAAACGTAGAAAAGAGAAAGATCAAGAAGTCTGGGATTGGCTCTGCTCGATAGAACAAATGCCAACCAGAGAGAATCACTGAAAACACAGTCAGGATGTCACCAGTCAAGCACGTGTTTTTCTTACGTTCGTTCTTCATCTTATCGAAGTAAGATAATTTGGAGGCAGCGTAAATGGCACCTGGCGACTGTAGTGTGCCAACGACGGCGTCCATCAGCAGGACGTTGGTCAGCGCTTGCTGGATGTACTGAGGGTCCTAGGACAGAAACAAGAATCTCTCAAATCAGTTAGCTATAAGACCCTAGTCACATCACGTAAAATAGTACTTCTAAAGAGGCGTTTCCCCCCCCTAGAGTAGCATGAGTTTAAATGAATGATGAATTTGGATTTTATATCATGCAATTTCTTTTTTTCTTAGTTAAGACAAATATGGCTTGTTTATGCCAGGGGTCAGCAAACGTCTCCTAGAAGGGGCTAGGTAGTAAGCATTTTAGGCATTGGGTCATGCAATCTCTGCTGTAACTGACTGCTCAATTCTGCCTGCCACTGAGGTATAGGGGCAGCCAGGGACATTCTGTTAACAAACAGGCAAGACTATGTTTCAATAAAACTTTATTTATAAAAACAGCTGGCTGGGTACAGTGGCTCATGCCTGTAATCCCACTACTCTAGGAGGCCGAGGCAGGAGGATCGCTTGAGTCCAGGAGTTTGAGACCAGCCTGGTGCTACACGGTGAGACTTCCGTCTCTACAAAAACTCAAAAAAGTAGCTGGGCATGGTGATGTGCGCCTGTAGTCCCAATTACTCGGGAGGAGGAGGTGGAAGGATCACCTGAGCCCAGGAGATTGAGGCAATGGTGAGTCGTGATTGTGTCACTGTGCTCCAGTCTGGGCAACAGAATGAGACCCCACCTCAAAAAACAAAAAACAGTCCACTGGCCCATAGGCTTGAGTTTGACGAGGCCCGTGGTTTGTGCTAAATAATCCAGTGGGGGCAACGCCTTCAGTTCCTCTCCCACTGTGGGAGTTTTTCTGTCCTTTCAATAAAGCCTGCTTTCTAAAAAAATAAAATAAAATAAAATAAAAAAATAATCCAGTGGGTATGAAAGCAAATGGCTAGTCCAAAAACCACAGAACACCGGAAGTATAGAAAGAACCCAGCCCCCAGCCCCGGTGAACGGTAACTTACATCCAGTCATAAAGGGCATTCTCCTGCTGAGGGACAGTCTGGCCTTCCCAGTGTTACCACCGTGGGGCGCCATCATCCCCTGCACTTCTCTGAGGATTTGGGAGCCACGCATCTCTCAATAGCCTTATGGACACCCCCTTGGGGTGCATCTCCCACTTACAGTCTGCTCCCATTTTGTGACACATCTTCCTATCTTGTCCTGCCACTCAGACAACACAAATACCTTCCCCCACAGCCCGCCTGCTACCCCTATCCATGGTGTCCTTCGTAACTACGGTATTGTCATTTGGTATAATCAAAGCCATCCATTTGGCCTGAAGTAATCTGAGGTACAGACGTCCTTAGGGGCCGGGCATGGTGGCTCATGCCTTAATCCCAGCACTTTGAGAGGCCCAGGTGAGAGGATTGCTTGAGCATATGAGTTCAAAACCAGCCTGGGCAACATAGCGAGACCTCATCTCTACAAAAATCAAAAAAATTAGCCAGGTGTGGTGGCATGCGCCTCTAGTACCAGCTACTCAGGAGGCTGAGGCAGAAAGATCACCTGAACCCAGAAGGTCAGGGCTGTGGTGAGCCATGATCGTGCCACTGCCCTCCAACCTGGGCGACAGAGTGAGACCACAACTTAAAAAAAAAAAAAGAAGTCCCTAGGATACAATGCCAATCCTACAGAAGAAATCCAATATCAACTCCTGCCAAATTCCTAATTCTGGGAAGCCGAAGAGTGCAGACCTGCCAGAGTGAATGTCAGCACTGCCCAGCCCGTGCCTCTACTCATGGGGACATCACCAGAATGGAGAAGGGACATGGAGGGGAGAAGAGATGTGCAGGGTGGTGGCAGCCATGGCCCACCCAGAGTGCTTTGCCAGCCCCCGTGTTTTCTCACCACGGCCTTTCCCAGAACCCCGAGGGCTTGTTCTGAGTCACACACAGTCCATGCCATCTCCAGTGCCTTCTCTTGACCTTACTCTCCTCAGAGGACCCAGCCCTGAGCCCTGAGCTCTCCCACCAGAGGCCCAGGCATGGTGAGACGTGCCTCGAATCGGCCATGGGAATGCACTGAGGAGACCCCACATCGCGAACCTTGTGGTCATCGGCCAGCTTCTTCCCAGCCCACATCTCCTTCACCATCAGGTGCCAAAGGTCACACTCTGTTTTCAGGTTAGCTTCAAAGACTTCTTTCTTGGACACCATTTTAATTTTTAAAGTGGGTATTCTCCGAAGCAGAAAAGTGACCGTGGTACTTCTGACTTCCTACAGAGGCAGAAGAAGAGAAGGGAGTTAAGTAACATCACACTCAAAGGACATTTGGATTCATGGGAGAAATCGGAAGGGCAGTGCTGGAGCAGCTGGCCTTGAACCACGGCCTCCTGCGGGCACATGCCAGGAGACCCGCCTTCCAGAAGATGATTGAGTGGGGTTTGCTCATCTGTCTGCACAGATCCACACAAACGGACCCACCCACCATGTCTGAAGGTGGTACGTTCTTTCACATCCTTAAATATCTCCTGGCTGGGTGTAGTGGCTCACACTCATAATGCCAGCAATTTGGGAAGCCAAGACAGGCGGACTGCTTGAGCCCAGGAGTTGGAAACCAACCTGGGCAACACTGTGAGACCTCATTTCGGCGACAGAGTGAGACCCCAACTCAAAAAAAAAAAAAAAAAAAAAGAAAAGAAAGAAAAGAAAGAAAATCAGATTAGACATGAACAGTTACTGCTCCAAGCACGTTACATACTTAATCTACCCAATCCTGGCGACAGAGTGAGACCCCAACTCAAAAAAAAAAAAAAAAAAAAAGAAAAGAAAGAAAAGAAAGAAAATCAGATTAGACATGAACAGTTACTGCTCCAAGCACGTTACATACTTAATCTACCCAATCCTGGCGACAGAGTGAGACCCCAACTCAAAAAAAAAAAAAAAAAAAAAGAAAAGAAAGAAAAGAAAGAAAATCAGATTAGACATGAACAGTTACTGCTCCAAGCACGTTACATACTTAATCTACCCAATCCTGGCGACAGAGTGAGACCCCAACTCAAAAAAAAAAAAAAAAAAAAAGAAAAGAAAGAAAAGAAAGAAAATCAGATTAGACATGAACAGTTACTGCTCCAAGCACGTTACATACTTAATCTACCCAATCCTGGCGACAGAGTGAGACCCCAACTCAAAAAAAAAAAAAAAAAAAAAGAAAAGAAAGAAAAGAAAGAAAATCAGATTAGACATGAACAGTTACTGCTCCAAGCACGTTACATACTTAATCTACCCAATCCTGGCGACAGAGTGAGACCCCAACTCAAAAAAAAAAAAAAAAAAAAAGAAAAGAAAGAAAAGAAAGAAAATCAGATTAGACATGAACAGTTACTGCTCCAAGCACGTTACATACTTAATCTACCCAATCCTGGCGACAGAGTGAGACCCCAACTCAAAAAAAAAAAAAAAAAAAAAGAAAAGAAAGAAAAGAAAGAAAATCAGATTAGACATGAACAGTTACTGCTCCAAGCACGTTACATACTTAATCTACCCAATCCTGGCGACAGAGTGAGACCCCAACTCAAAAAAAAAAAAAAAAAAAAAGAAAAGAAAGAAAAGAAAGAAAATCAGATTAGACATGAACAGTTACTGCTCCAAGCACGTTACATACTTAATCTACCCAATCCTGGCGACAGAGTGAGACCCCAACTCAAAAAAAAAAAAAAAAAAAAAGAAAAGAAAGAAAAGAAAGAAAATCAGATTAGACATGAACAGTTACTGCTCCAAGCACGTTACATACTTAATCTACCCAATCCTCTCCACAACCCTCCTAAGAAGGCACCGTTATCATCCCCGTTTTACAGATGAGTAAAGTGAGGAACAGGAAGACAAGTGGCTTGGGGAAGGGGCACAGTTCGTACTTGGCACAGGTGGACGAGAGCCCAGGGACCTCCCCCAGCCATGCTGCCTCCCACCCAAGCGGGCCTCCAGACCTCACCGCTGCACTCACCTCTATGTTTCTGAAGGTGGCGATCTCCACGTAGCCAGGCCTTCCTTCCATCAGGAGGAACAGGCGTTTCTGGGTCATGGCGATCTTGCCGACGCCTAGGTTCGTCTTCACCGAGCTCGACAGCTTATACACACACTCGTTCTTATCAAGATGCTCCATCACCAACCACGGCAGACTGACCTCCTGGGCCTCTGCTTCCGTCTCCTTCCAGCAGTTGTAGAAATCCTTGAATGTTTCTGGGTCGATTTGTTTCTGCTGCCCTTAGTTTAATGAGAAGAAAAAAGAGGTTTCTTACAGCCACACCCAGAGGGAACTTCAAGAACATTCGCGTTACTTTAACAGCGCATTACTGGAACATAGCAGCAGATGGCGCCATCGCCTAGGGCTCTCCGGAGGGAACCGGAGCAGCTTTGGAGGTGACATCCCAGCAGCCCAGGTGTCCAGGGTGGGGCACAGGACACAAGGCTGAGTCTGCCAGCCCTTTCTAGCCCTGGCTTGGAGACGGCTGGGTGACCTGCTTCGGGTAATCACAGTCACTCTTAAGACTTAGGGCAGGAACACTGGGACAAGGACACGCTTCTTATGGAGACAGAGACCCTCCTCCTCACTAGAACACTGGCTGCCATCTCAGGGCCCAGGGGGGTCATCCAAGGAGGCCAGATCCTCCTACACCACTGGTCAGCCTTGCCTGAAAGCAGCCCTTCCATGGTGCTCTCTGGTTGTGGGCAAATAGTTTCCATGTACCATCTGCGATCGAGATCACCGTGGTGCGGCCACAGCCTTCCCACAGGGCCAGCATTCCCGCCGTGGAGCCAGAGGCTGAAGGCCAGACTCACAACTAGCCAGCAGGGATCTCGGGTCAGCCTGGATGGGCCTGCTTCCTTGGCTGTCGACGAGAGAGGGGCGATCCCGTCAATGCCCAAGCAACTGCTGGCCAGTCCTGCCGGTTCTGACCCCCTGACGCTGCCCTGCACCTGATCCTGCCCTGGCTCGGTGCTGCCTCCGTTGTGGTCTTGAACCTGTGCATTCCTCTCTGTCCTCTGATGCACTGCGTCCCTCCCTCAATCTTGCACAGGAGAATGTTCCTCGATGGCTTCTGCTCTTTGTTCAGACACTCCCAGGGAGTTTACACCAAGCCCCAGATTCCTTCAGGACCAGATCCCTCCTCTGCTTCACACTCCACATTCCAGTCACACCAAGTATGTTAGAAACAGGCTGTGTTTGTTCTGAGTTGGAGTCTCCCTCTGTCGCCCAGGCTGGATGCAGTGGCATACTCATGGCCACTGCAGGCACCACCTGCCGGGACTCAGGCAATCCTTCCACTTCAGTCTTCCAAGTAGCCAGAACCGGAACCAGAACCACAGGCATGCACTACCACGTCTGGCTACTTTTTTGACTTATTGTAGAGACGAGGTCTTGCCAAGTTGCCCAGCCTGGTCTTGAACCCGTGGCTCAGGCAATCCTCTCACTTCTGCCTTCTGCTGGGATTACAGGTGTGAGCCACTGCGCCCGGCCAGGCTGTGTGTGTCCAATGCCTCTGCACACACAGCTCACCCTGACTGTTCAGATCAGAAGACTCCTACCCCTCCCACCACATTCAGGTAAATATGCCCACATGTAGGCCTCCCTGACAAGCAGGGTCAACCTGGCCACTGCCAAACTACACACACACTTCCCTTATGGCACCACTGTAGGCAACAACACTTGCAACACACCAAGAAACACGTTCCACACTCTATGCAGGGTCTCAGCTAATATGTACAACCACTTTAGGAGGTAGGCACTATCTTTAGGCTCTTTCACAAATTAGGAAACTGAGGCATGAAAAGGAAAGCCCCCTTGCTGGCAGAGCCAGGTCACAAGGCTGGGCAAACAGTCTGCCACAAGGTGGTGGGTCTGCCTTCACTGCCAGTTGCTGCTCCAGAGGGCAGGATCTGTGTCCTCCCGAAACAGCAAAGGACATGGCTAACATCCCAGCTCAGCCACACCCCGGCACAAGTTGCATCACAAAGTGTCAATGGTGACAGTCGTCAGGAAAATTTGCTCCAGAGTCTGAAACAACTGAGGAGGGAGTCCTGACAGCAGTTTGTAAGGGGAACGCCACATGAAGGGGTCAGGGCCACAGCAGGGTTGGGGGGACTTGCCTGGCTTCTACATCTTACTTCTAAATCATGGGGACCGTGGACACCGTCAGCGCTGAGGTGGACGGACTGACTTAGACTTAGACTTCATCACCACAGTGTGCGGGACCAGAATGTTTATGTGAGAATCTCCACCAAGTGGCAGGATTTTGAATGAACCCTGTTTCTGTTTGCTTATCTGTATTTTCTCGTTGGGTTGCCATGGCTGTATTGCTTATGTACATTTTCTTAAGTTTTAAAGTCATTGGACCCAAAAAGAGAAACATTAGTTAACAGGAAGGGGACCTGTATGCACTTGTGTGATATTTAAAAAGAAGTCGTTGCCGGGCTCGGTGGCTCAGTCTGTAATCCCGCACCTTTGGGAGGCTGAGGTGAGTGGATTGTCTGAGCCCGTGGGTTCAAGACCCGCCTGGGCAGGCGAGACTTCATCTCTACAATAAATCAAAAAATCAGCTGGGCGTGGTAGCACGCGG